AAATAAATGTTTAAATAATCTTAACTAATAAAAATATGAATTTTTATATATCTCGATGATAGGCGATTTAAGTGAGACTTTATGGCCTTATTGTTGCTATTATTGTTGGAGGAGAGAGAGAGATGAATTGAGTAGGTGAGAAACCGCTGGGTGAAGTTTTGCAGTGTCGAGGCGTCGGTCCTGTAGTGGCTCTGTGTGAACTCCAGCAGCTCCGCCCATGTGAAGTCCGGGTACTTCCTCGGCACGCCGCCGCCGCCGTCGCGACCGACCAGCAACTCCTTCGCCGGCCGCACCACCTTGTCAGCCTGCGGACACACGAAGAAGGCCAACGACCGCCGCCTTCTGTCCCTGTTCACCACCGCCCGGTGGAGGCAGCTCTTGTACCTCCCGTTTGTCAAAGCCTGCACCAATTTTAAAGCGCGCAGCAGGTTGCATGTGCAGGTGACGACCACAACTACGTGCATGACGACTTAAGGAATAGCATTAAGATCTTCTTTGGCATGGGGAAGAATACCTCTAAAAAATATTAATATCATTTAACAAACATAATCTATTTAAGATTTCATCAAATCCAATGAAATCCATTGATTTCATGAAAAAAAAAAGAAAAAAAAAAAACTCTTCTTCTTCTTCTTTTCAAGCTTAAAACGAGCATTACTTATCAGCTTCACTTGTCTCATATACACCCCTCAGCTCGTCCTGATCAATGTCATTACATCTCTAAATTCTTGAGTCATTAGAGACACATCATCTTAATTCTTATCATCGGTGAATAGGCTCTAACATCATCTTTGATAATTTGAGTCCAGTGAAACTAGATCAGGACCAATCATTCATGGAGGTCAGACAGCAGTACAGGAGAAGTGCTTAAGCTCATACACTGAGTAGTAAACTGTTTATCAATCTCTTTGCAACTTGAGATTATTCCTAACACTTTCATGTATTGTGGCATTTGATGTAGAAAAAGAAATTATTGGTGGTATCAAGGCCAGCACAAATGTGTATATGGTAAAATTATGATATGAACATGGTGGAGTAGTACTACTGGACATGCTTTTCTCTGTGCTTAACAAGGTATTCACGTACCATGAAGGTGTCGCCTATGTTAATGACCAGGGCACCGGCGATGGGGCTCACGGACCGCCATTTCCCTTCCGCGAACACCTGCAGCCCGGCCACTTGGTCCTGATGCAGAATGGTGAGGGCGGTGGGATCGCTGTGCGGGCCCGTCCCCAGCGTCAGCTCCGGCTCCTGGCACGGCGGGTAGTTGTTGCACCTCATGATGGAGCTCCCGTCCTCGAAGAAGTTCCTGTAGTAGTCCCTTCCCATCCTCAGGCTGATCCCCAGCAGCTCCATTATCGACAGCGACAGATCCTTCATGGCCGCGCAGTACCTTCGGTGCACCCTCCTGCATGCATGTTTCGACACGATCGCAGGTCGTCATCCAGCTCTCAGTGCTGACGATGAGAAGTGCAGTGAGATTGCGTGCGTCGTACCCCATCGGTTGGAATTCTTCCCCAAGCTTGGACGTGATGTAGTCCACCACGCCATCCCTGTTCCCGCTGTAGTCGTAGGCGAACGATAGCGTCTCCTTCCACGGCAGCATGGAGGCGAAGCGATCCGCGTGGGCTCCGACGTAGCCCCACGTGCACCCGGGCCGCCGCCGGGCCCTCAGTTTGGTGCTCAGGGGGAGCTCGAAGAACTCATCGGCGACGCGGAGGGCGTCGTGCAACGCCGCCGCGTCGACCTTGTGGTTCATCACCTGGAAGAACCCGTGGCTGGCGCAGGCGCCGCGGATGGCCGCGGCCGTGCGGCTGGTCGAGGCCGCGTCGCCCTCGAGGAATCCCTTAAGGTCCACCACCGGCACCTCGAGCTCTTCCGGTTGGTGCGGCCTCTCGCAGCGAGGCCAGATGAATGCTTCGGGTATGTTGGATTGTTTCTGTAGGACAGAGGGGTCGAAGACGACGACACTGTTACCGCAGTCGCTTTTGCCCTTGTCGAGGTCCAAAGTAGCAGGAGAGGAGTCCATGGAAGAGAAGAAGGATGAGAACGGAGTGCAAGTTGGAGCTATTTGTAATGGCAGCACATAGAAGGCGACAAGAGAGGAGGAGGTGATGGAGGAAGAAAGAAAGGGGGCGTACAACACTTGGTGTTTGGATAAATGTGGCGACGCTAAGCGTAAGCTAAGTTGGAAGGGAGAGGTGAAGGTTAAGGCCTTTGGTATTGTCGAGGAGGGTGTGTGCGTGGGAATCTCTGGTGAAGCTGAGCCAAAGCCTGGGACGACTGACGCCCGTAGTTGTCATCTATCGTCTTCCTTTCAACTCTTCTTCTCTTTCCTTTCCTTGTCTACGTGGAACTCGGTTCCTCATCAGTGCCCTCCTCTCCACCACCATAAGAGCTGCTCTGCATGAGCATCCACTGCAAAGTTTTACTTGGTTCCCAGACGTGTAGCCATAAGAGAACAAATAGCTTTGGAATTGCCGAGCATGTGACTTTCTCAAACTAAATAAACTCCACCATGGCAAAAGTAAAGCTCTTCAAAGAGTCGCATCCCCTCTGACACATTGTGGACGAGAGGTTTGATCACTTGTCTTGGCAATGGCTCCAAACATATAGCACTAAAAAACATTGGCTTAGGCAGGCATACCAACATGCAATTTTGGTGGACCTCCACCTAAGTTTGTGCTGAGTACTGATCACAAGCTGACGATACTTGGAGGTGTCTTTTCCAAGGCAAATTGAATTGGATTTGGTGCAGCACAGTGGCCATTTTCCTGAGCTTGTCTTTACTTGTAACTCTCTCTCACATGGACTCGTGCATGAACTTGATCCTGCACTGGGAGTGTCTCTCAAGTGAAGCAGCTTTAGGAGCATTTTAGTTGATCCTCCAACATCATGATCTGCTCACCAAATCCCACACGGATGCATCTCATCAAACCCCTGGTTTGATGTTTCTTGCACCTTGTCGTCTGTGTTCTTGTGGTTTTTCTCTCTGTTACTTGTCTACTTTCTTCTAATTCCTGTATTCTTCCGAGTTATGATCTAAAACACACTCATTTGGAAGAGAGACTGTGAGTATGAGTTCAGAGATGATTTCTCCCAGCATGGAAGAACCATTTTATCCAGCAAGTTGTGTGTCATCTGATTGGTGTCTAAAGTAGTAATCTAGAATTCCTGATCTCTATGTATCTATTACTGACTTAAAAAGTGTAAAGGGGAAAACATACTCAAGTCTCAACCATTCTATTGAAGCTTTAGGTTGCATTGTATAGAATGATTTACCGAAAAGCTTCGTCAGTTTCGAGAGTGAGGAGTTCCTTTGGAGTTGGACGTTGTCGATGTTCTCTGAAAGAAGTGAAGAGAAGATTTGTTTTTGTAAGCTAAAAATTAAGAAAAGATGAGATGAGTAGGATGAAGGAAAGAGGTCGTCAATTCATCTAATACAACTATTTTTTTGGTGGTGTTTTGGTCTTTCCAGTATATGGGATGACTAATGGCAAAATTGATGAAGGCTAATTAATATATGGGAAAAATAAATTAAGCTGAAAAGAATATTTTTTTAAAATATATATTTTTTATTTTAAATTATATAAAAAATTATGGATCACTCTTCATCGTCTCATTGAAAAATATCTCAAATATAATGAATATTTTTCACAGCACTATAGAAGATGATAAAATGAGCGTAATGTTCGTCACATAATTAAGGTTAATTATCGCAACGAAAGATATTCTCTAAACTAGATTATTCTAACTATATATGATTAGATACTTTTAAATTATAAATAGAGATATGAAATAAGCCCTCAAACAATACTAATCTTCTTGACACTGTATTCTTATTTTAGGTTCAAACTAATTTGAGCATTGAAAGGGTCTTGTAGTGCACATCTCAATATAGTTTTATAAGAAATGTTAAGATCAAGATGATAACTCCTTACCAATATCCAAGGACTTTAGAAAAAGGGTTTAGGTTAGGTTTCAATATGTTAGATTTTTTTTTTTTTTTACAAAAGATAAAGAAAGTAGCGCAAAAATAGAATACAAGCTCTTGTGATAACCTATCAAAGTTTTTTTATCGACTAAGCTAGTCAGTACTTTTAATTTCGATACAATGGATTATAGATTAAATTTGACACTAATATTTAGTTCAAGCTAATGTTTATAATGTCGCCAAAGCCTTTATATTAGTTTTCTAACAGGATTTACCTTCAGTTGATCTCATCATAAGTCAATGATATTTAATGCATCAAGTTTTGAAGGGTTGGAATATTTTAGCTGCTACATAATGGAAAAGACATAGTTCCTTTCATATTCTAGACATGGTTTGGAGTCTTTATAAAACAAAGGCCATTATTTCTGAAACACTCGGGAAAGGTCTAAAACATTTGCAAACAGAGCGTTTCATGTGATTAGAGATTTAACACATTTCCCCCAAACCCAAATCCAAAGAATTGATAGTAAAACACAAACCTATAAATTAGCGAACACTCCATTGAGAGAAACAGTAAGAGCATTTAAGGTGTTCTCAGTGTGTCCTTGTTTGTCATAATATGAAAACATATGTTGTATTTACATAATAATAATAATAATAATATCATAATTTGAAAGACTTCCAAACTTGAATTCTTCCTCCAAGCAATTTGATTTCAAGAATCCAAAAACACTTATTTATCCAGATAATTACTTATTTGAGTTCCATGGTTAGGAATGGAGGGAGGGATTTTCAAGCTGTATCTCTCTCTCTCTCTCTCTCTCTCTCTCTCTCTGTGTGGGTAATTAACTACCATAATCCTTTCATTTAACATTAGTTGCTGGTCACTCTTGACTTCTGCGAGAGCAGCCAACTACACATTTAATTTAAAACAGGTTACTGGAGATGCCATAAACACCAGATGAAGACCAAAATGATGCAAAAAGAACTTGATCTGCCAATATTAACATCACATCTCAAGGATTCTCAAACATGGAATTATTGGTTAAAAGAATATGATTCTACATTCAACTCATAATCACAAAGCACTTCCTATACTTGTATTGTCAGCATTAAACAAAAACGTTGGAAAATAATAGAACTTATATGGTACACAGTAATAGGAATGAGGAAAAAAAAAAAAAGATAAAAAGAAACTGACAGCTCTCCAAGACTCATTTGTTCTAAGATAACGATGGCAAACTTGCCTCGACTTCTTTTGGCCTCCACATTGTCTTTTGGACAAACAACAGTCCTTCATTTTCCTTTGAGTAAGTCATTCTGACTTCCCACTTCAATGATTTTGCCATGCTCTCAACCTCTTCTATTGTCTCTGAATTATCCCTTACAATAAGCTTGCCTTCTGGTCTCAGTATCCTATCCACTTCAGCAATCACTGCCCGTAACTTACATCTGCAAAGAAACAGTCCCCCCCAAGAAAAAAAATTGGTTAGGAGATAAAAAGAACACAGATGTACTGTCTCCAGGTTGAAGTTATTTGTCTTTGTGTTCGTCACCATGAGTTCAGAATTGGTAACGAAGCTCAAATAAGCAAATACATAGCTAAAATTTTTAACATGAGACTGATGAATACACATATAAAATGTCAGCTCTGACCTCTTCTTTATTTTGGAGAAAAGATGATCTGCATGAAGTAGATCATATGATCTAGGATAGGTGCTGAAAGATTCACACCAGTCATGATACATTCCAAACAGTCCACGCTCATAAATTAAAGGAAGAGTATCTGGTGAATCAATGGAAACAATATTCATGATCCATGCATTCGCTTCTTGCAAAGCTGCAGCAAAACTGAAACAAGCAGTGATAAGAAACATCATTTGTTTCATGATATGTTGACAATTAGCTGAAGATGGCAATCCTGCAAGTACTAATAAGGAAAATAAGCTATTCATAGTTTCATAACATCTTTTGTCACAGATTTTATTTACAGGGTTCTTATGTTCATTTGGAAGTATAAGACAACAGCTAGAAAACTACATGAAGACTAGGGCATGAACAAATAAGTAAATGCTGAAAGAATGTTGCTATATATATTTACTACAACAGTTTCACTGAAACAGCCATGACATGCTTCTCATATTATGAATTCTATTGGCATGCCTAAGGCAATAAATATGTATACATATAGTTTGTTGGGTTGACAAAAACCATAGTTATTAAAACCAGACTGGACCAACTGGTCCAATCAGAAAAATCAGGAATCGGATCCTTGACAGTCAAGTGACCATAGTATCCTTAAATATGATAATATAGCATTTATGTTTTTGAGGATACTGATTGGAAAATAAAAAAAATAGATGTTTTCTCAAAGGGCTTATTATCTAACTCCTTTCTCTGATAATCTCCTCTATGATTTTTCTCAACTTTATCCTTTTTGTTTTTTCGCATTAAAATCATCATTTACTCTTTTGTTATCTACCTCTGTTTTTCTCTCGCTTTCGTCATTTATTTATCTTTCTCATAACCTCTCTTCCTTTTATTGTTATCACTGCCTTTGTTTTCTTTCACAATTATTCTTTATAATTCTTCTTTTATGACAACACATCATATGAGCTAACCTATTTTTGTTGTCAGCCACAAATTCCATGTTTTGATTATACAACAAAGAGGCATTTTATGACTATATTTTTGTTATTATTATTTTTATATAACATAAATGTATGTTTTTTAAAAAATTATCTTATATTAAACCTATTGTCTGACCGCTTAATGGACCACTGACTCAAGGCTCAACGGGATTGACGTTTGACCTGAGTATAATATATACGAAAAAAATTGCAGTAAAAGAGAGAAAATAGAAATGCATGTTTTCACATACCCTCCATATACGGCTCTCATATCCATCACGTTTCTCACCGCAGACCAGTTGATTCCCAATCCCTTCATATACGATTTGCTTACAATATGCTTCCAAAGCTCAGTGTCTGCTTTGAAGTCCTCTGGTGCAGGCCTTCCATAGACTCCAACCTGTGAACTATTCAGCCAATATGGGACATTATCCAGTCTCAGTGGCCACTGCTGTGGCCACTGCGAGCCCCGGACATTAGGATCTACGGGCAGTTTGTGCATGCATGCTTGCAAAGGGATGTTCCTGGAGAAGTGCAGAACATTGATTCATTAAAGGCACATTAAAATGCATACTGAATTGAAACTAAGACAGATGCATAATCTCTTAAGAAGAACTTAACCAGGCTGCATTTGGATCATCAGAACCTTGGCAGAGTGGAGGGCTGTCTTCGGTTCTTTTGGCATAGCATTCATTGTCTGAAGGCTTTCTGTATATTGCCATGCCGACTTCATTGATTCGATCCTTCGTCTTATTCACCATATCCCAGCACATGGATTGTGTCAATGCTGTCATGGCTGGCAATAGTTTCACATTAGAGTTCAGTGATCCGATAGCTACTTTCTAATCAGAAAAAGCATGACACCAACATCCTCAAGGAACAAACTTTCATTAGTAGTCTTCTAATCAATAGCAAAGATTTAATGGATTCATTTGAATTCTCCTCCTTTTAGTGAATATTCTAATTTTGTAGAGATTGGAGAATGATAAAATATAACTTTTCAGCTTAGTGTCACATCAAGGGTAGATGAAGAATTGAACTGAATTGAATTATAAGGGTTTGACAGGTATAGAGTATCATTAACTTGGCCTAATGTTTTTGGGTTATTTGGTGTTAGGTATATTAAATTAATAAATTATTTTTTCATCAAGTCGGATTATACTTTATAGTAAACGATATCAGAGTCAATCTAGCATTGGTTATCCCATCTCATTAAGTCATAACAAATATTATTAGTGTCAATCTAGTATTGGCATAGTAAAGGTCCAAATAGTAAAGAGATTTGTATGGATGAGACATGAGGCATATCACAAGGTTAACCCACTAGTAAGAAGGGAGATTGTTACTCCCTTACTAGAGTCTCATATGAGATAAAATATCATCAGCTAAGGTCATGATATAAAATTGTAAAAATAAACCTGATCTTCTATTACACGATTTTTTAGTACTTCAAAATTTTGAGTAAGTCAATTAAAAAAAATTACCTTCCCAAATCTCAACATCCTCTGGAATTTGTTGATAAACTGGTGTAGCAGACCATACGAAATAACCACCAGGACGCAACATTCGATTCAACTCCAATAAAAGCATACCACCTGCACAATACATGTTACATCCATTATGGCACCAAAAATAATCTTCGAAACATAAATCTAAGTCTTGATTTGGAATAACCTTCTATATGCCAAGGGACCCTACAACGGGCACAATGGATGACATCAAAAACCATTCCAGGGAAAGGAAGTCTTTTAGTGCCCATGACAGCTGATAGAGCTGGAATTCCTCTTTCAAGAGCAAACTGCACTTGAGCTTCATGCTCATCTTTAGGAGCAAACGACATGGTAAGTACATCTCTATCGAATAGAAATCCTCCAAAACTAGCGACCCCACAGCCAACATCCAACACAACACGGCTTTTCTTTCCCCAGGCTATATCAGGCATAGACTATTACAAATGCAAAAGGATAATCACAATTATGATAATAATGTTCAACAAATAGATGTAATTTATAATTTTAAAGCTTCTAAATATGTTGGGTTTTCCTAACAACTTAATTGAGATTTGAAGGCACCTTAACATAATCGTTATCATAGTATCAAAGGAGGTTGTAAGTTCAAAACTTGGATCTGTCCCTCTCTATTGCATCCAATGTTTGATCAGTATTTGAGTAATGTCATTTACAATATCATGCATCAAGCCTTATTTAGCTTGCATGTACAAGGGGATATTAAATCTTGCTAATATATCGGGTCATTTTCAACACTTATGCAATGCATTAAGTATGACATAAAGTTATAATGGCTTCTCCAATAAAAAGGAAGATTTTGATAAAAAATTTAGTTGAACAATGGTAAAGTTGGAAACAAGAATCAACATAAAAACTAGCAAACAATGTTTCAGATCCTTCTTCCAGTTTAGACACACAATGCGGGACCTAAAAGGAACTTGAGAATGTCTCCAGGAAAAAGGCTTTGTTGCAAGCATTTCTTTGTAGCAACTATAAGCTAATACATGGGCATGAAAGGAGCATCAATTTTCATGAAAACACTGTGTATGAAGGAAATTGGTGCACAAAAACAATTTACTAGTTGTTGGGTAGCCCAATAAGCAAGAATAAGAGAGTAATAGCAAGTGAACCTCCTGGATGAAATCAATGTAGTGCAGTGCTCCATGTATGAACTGAGTGCCTCCACCAGGAAAAGTGAGGAATTCTCCAGACACTTTCACCCAATTTTGATGGCCCTTTACGGCTGCAAGCTGGGAATGAGGTACATTGTGGTACCATATCTGCACAACAATGAAAATGAGCATTTCTCTTTGTCTAAATAATGAGGCAAAATTCCACTAAATGAGACACCTTGTTCCTGCTATTTGGCCACTCAATGGGCCGTTTGTATCCTTCTGGCAGAGGAAGGAGACAGGCAGGAGCTTCATCAGGACAATGCCTCTCTCGATGTTCATAGTGCTTAGTGCTTCTAAGCTTCTTGATTGCTTCCTCGTTGTCGAGGCAAGGGATGTAGTCAGTTCCGGCAGACACATTGCAGAGTTTCCAATTATTCCTAGTACCATGTTCCTTTGATGCAGCTTGCACTGCTTTCTCCTTCTTCGACTCGGTAGCTTGTGTAGACCATGCGCCATTCTGGGTACTGGTTTCGTTTAGCAGCTCCGACTGAGCTCCATCAGGAAACACCTCAGGAGAAATCAAGTCCTTCGCTTTGCTCCCTGCTGTGATCTCATTGGGTCTTTCTGCAGCCTCCTTTCCATTGTTGTCATCTCCTTTAGTCTCATCTGAATTCTGCTCTGAGAACTTCTCACCGAACTTACTGTCTGCTTTCTCTGTAATTTGCTGGTAATTCTCTTCTGTGCTCTTGTCTTGGCCTTCTCTGATCATTTCTCCACCCTCTGTTTTCCCAGTTTCATCCGAATTCTGCTGTGAGCTTTCACTTTGTCCATCATCTGTCATTTCATCAAACTTCTGGTCTGCTTTTTTTTCCTGCCCACCATATTTAGTTTCTTCAGAGTTCCCTTCCGTGCTCTTCTCTTGGCTTCTCTCCTTGCCATCGGTGACCATTTCTCCACCCTCCGCAATCCCGTTCTCGTCACTATATGTCTTCTTATCTGCTTTCTTTACCTGCCCACTATCTGTGGCTTCTTGAGAACTGTCTTCCGTACTCCCGTTTTCACCACTATATGTCTGAGTTGTCCTGGTGTTATCATCCATTTCGCTTTCTTGGGGCTTTTCCACCACGTTCTCGGCTGCTTTGTCCTGCACATTCTGGTCATCCAGTGACTCCGACCTCGTCTCAGTGGTAGAATCCTTGACGTCGACGTTGGCATCTCTTCCTGTTGCTGCTGCTGCTGTTGCCGCTTCATCGATGACATCCACTGAGCTGTCCTCACGCGGTCCCCGATCGGTCTCGGAGACTTGTTGCTTCATGTCCGACTTGCTCTCCGGCGAGGACATGTCGATAGGGACTACGGTGGACGACGAGGTCATCATCCAAACACCAACCAAGCAAAGAGCAATGAACGCGACGAGGGTCACCGTCGAGCAATGCGACGACGACCTCCTTGCGTCCATCATGGCGCTCCTCCTAAATGCCATTCTTCTTCACACACGATTACTAATGCTCTCAATCTGCGTCTCGAAATCAAAGGTAAACTAGAGTAAAAATCTACATACAACATCAACAAAGCACTCGACAGAGAACAAAATTAAGGAATAACGAGAAATTGAAATATAGGAATCAAAACACATTCTAATTAATACCTAATTGCAAACCAGATATTGAATGACGACAGAGGATAGATGAGAAATTTGGGAAATACAGGTATTTTAAATCACTCTCTCTCTCTTAAAATCTGTTACTGTAGCCACCCTCCTTTCTCTTTCGATTGCATTGCATCATCCTTATTTATAAATTAAAACAATTTTTTTTTAGATTTTAATTTAATATTCCAAAGAGTTTTGGGAGAACACCACAATCGAACATTTTTTTGGCGTGCTGTCGCTGGAAACCTGCGTTAATGATTGTAACAGCTATGGAAACAAAGTACAATATGTTAGACAATTATCCTCCTTTGCAAGAAGGCATAAAAATCAAACTTCCTTTGCACGCTCGGAAGCCTTCATTCAAAACTGAGAAGACGCCTACCTCGCCTAATTCCATCCGAAGTAATGATGGTAGCACGCAACTATCAACGTTTCGGGAAAAGGCTTACCTTTCTTCAACTCAACGACGCATTGGATCTACGAAGACGAGGAAGAAGAAGAGAAATAGAGGAGGATGAGAATTGATTGCATGCGAGATTATTATAAGAGACGGGGAGCGGATCTGTAGAGCAAAAGGTGCTTCTTTTCTATTGATCGAGAAGAAGTTTTCATGGCGGGGAAGCGGAAGAGGAAGGTTGAGCGTCGAGCGAGAAGAGGGTGGCCACACGAGCCCCGGGTTTAAAGGCGAGCGAGGCGCAACTTATACGTGTCTCAACTAAGCATGCGTCGCTTTACCCGCTCCATGCCTTTCTTTTTCCTATATATTTATTTTTTTTATTGATAAAAAATTTAATTTGATTATAGTTCAAAAACGCAGCATGGATTGAAGTTGATAAGATGAGTGACTCATTAACTTGATGGGTCTAAACCATCTAGAATACGTAGTTACAAATTAATGATATTATACATCCAAGAAGCCCTCTTTATCAGCAGGTTTGAAGTGTTACAATCTCCCCCCACATATATTTCTACCATTTTTTATATTAAATGATTTTTAATCCATACATATTTCATATTAGATAATTTTGATCAAAATATATTGAATGATTGTTGCGCTTTGTATGTAGTAATTTATCATTGTTACTTTTACGAGTCTCTCATGAGACCTGTGATAGCATTCCAGCCATGAAAGAACAGCATAGTAGCTTATCAAGAAACTTCCAAGTAGCATTTCGTACCAAAATACTAATGAGAAAGAAAACCTGTTCTACTCTTGAAAATTAAAATGCACCAAGCTCATTTCTCCTTGTTCAGATTGTAATAGAAAAGGATGCATAATAACCTTGTAAATTTATTTTTGGAAGGAATACAGAGTCACAAGCTTTAGACCTCATAAGAATCTGATACGCAATATTATTGTGATCTTCGAAGGACCACTAAAGGATATGATACGTCGTCCCACTAAAGGATTAATCATATGCAATATGACTGATATCCAATATTATTGTGATCAGTCATATGCAGCAATATGACTGATTTGATACGTCGTCCCACTAAAGGATTAACCCCTTGGCCATCCAAGTATAGCAAGAAGAAGAGCTATGATGCTGCCGTTGATCAATCCCCTAAGAATTTTCTGCTTCTGTGGTGTATATGGAGGGTATCTAGCAGGAGCTTCCCCACCAAATCCACGAGATAAGACAGCTTTCTTGTGACTAAATGAGTCAAATGAGAATTTGCCATGGTAAGCCCCGATTCCACTCTCACCTACACCACCAAATGGCAGATGGGGATTTGCAAGCTGCACAAATAGAAGACATTATTATTTCAGTCACAATAATCCAAATATTTTCCTAGTTGTTTGTTTCTCATATGGTCTCATCTGATATAAAAGTAAATGAATTCATAGTTAGCAGCAAACTTACAGGGATGCCTACACATAGAGCATTTATCTCTTAGTATCAGAAAACGGAACTCACATGCAAGGCGGTATCATTGATGAGCATTCCACCAGCAGATACAGTTTTTACGAACCGCTCTTCTAATCTCTTGTCCTTGGTGAAGAGATAGGCTGCAAGAGGCTTTGCCTTTGAGTTTATAAAATCCAAACAATCTTCCACCTCGTTAAACTGAGCAAACAAAATACAGAATGTATATAAGGAACTACTGTACTCTGCAGATGATGGCTTCTAGTTTCTCATATCTAGGATACCCAGACAAAAGGGTGAATGTAATTTAAAGTGCATAAGATAATTTATATAGCATGGAGAGTATCTTACTGTAATGATTGGAAGTAAAGGGCCAAATATTTCCTCCTTCATTATTAATGAATCATGTGGAACATCTAACAGGAGAGTTGGGGCTATCTTCCTGCAGGGATATGGGATGGCATTGCAGTTTAACTGCTTTAAATTCATTTTGATTAGAAATTTATAATATTTGATGCTTACAGGTGCTTTTCATCCTGCTGGCCTCCATATACAATTGTGCCGGAAACCTTCTCATCATCCAAAAGGCTTGTCAAGCGTCTGAAATGTTTAGCATTTACAATGCGAGACAAATCAGGCGATTCCAATGGATCCTTCCCGTAGAATTTCTCCAAAGTTTTTTTCATAGCATCCACCTGTAAATGTCAACAAAGAAATAATAATTAGAATGAACAATATACAACTGCTCATTAACTTCCATACTAAAACTGCTACCAGTGTTGGAGCAAATGATTTTGTTGTTAGAATATAGTCTGGAGCAACACATGCTTGTCCATTATTGCATCCCCACTTGCCCACAGCAATTCTCTTTGTCGCAACCTTAAAAGATCAAGCAACAAGCACACATCAGCACCAAAAAAGACTAAAATGCAAGTCAATATGTGTTTCATAACTAAAATGCCATTATTGCCAACACATAGAACCCAACAAATGTACCCAGGAAGCAAGTAAAGAGATCATTACTTTAACATTGACATTTGAATCCACAAGAACAGGACATTTTCCTCCAAGTTCCAAGGCTACTGGTGTCAGATGTTTCGCAGCTGCAGTCATCACAATGCGGCCCACTTTTCCATTACCTGTGGATTTTCCAGAATGTTGCCAGTTAAAGGGCAAAAGCCAGACTCTTCAAACTCTTAAAGGGCATAGAGATATAGAGAAGGATGTTCTAAGCTGAAGAAATCATCAAAATCACAAGAATATTTAAACAGTGAAACTGTGCTGTAACAGCTTTAAAAAGTAGAATCTCACGTTAAAATGTTTAATAATTCATGAAGAATTTAAAATTTTGAAGTTAAGAAGCATAGTGTAGCAAGTCAAAACCTGTATAGAATATTTTATCCCACTTTTGCTCCAGAAGTGCTGTGGTCTCAGGGATTGAACCCTCTACTACTTTTACACAAGAGTTATCTGTGTATTTCGGTAAAATTGTTGCGAACAAGGATGATGTGGCAGGTGCAACTTCTGATGGTTTCAGAGCAACGGCATTGCCAGCCGCAATTGCGCCAATTACAGGATCAATAGACAACACTAGGTAAGACAGAAGAAACTTAATGTTATTGCTCCTGAGAAAGAGAGCATCAAGGTTGTATCAATGTCAAAAACAGTCTCAAATGTGATTACCACAGGAAAAAGAATATCAAAGCAGAAAAATTGATAGACACAGAAAATAAATGCACAAGATCGAGGCCATATCAACACTAGAATATGAACTGCTTTCAGCAAAGTGCAACTGACACTAATAAACCTTCTAAGTGCAGTCACTTCATTTATCCAGTGCCAAGCTAGCAATCAAAACAGGAGTAAACAAACAATTCCCCAGTTTGGTGATTTAAAATAACCCAAAGCATGCCATTAAATAAATTGGGATGACATATCTCTGAGTGACAATACTAGATAATAGAGCAAACTTTACTCATTCAGCTAAAGCTAAAAATAGGGTTAAACTTAAACAGACATATTATAACCAGCCTGCATTGGATAATCTTTCCGTGTAGCACCTAAAGATGATTAATGCAGGCAGCAGAATGCAAGGGCCATGTAAGAATCTCTTTAGGAAAATGGACAAACAAGTCAAGAAAATGTTAAATCTGTATAGGTCTATCAAAGGAGCTTGGACTTTTCTGGATACACTAAAGTCACAAAAACACTCCACAACTTAGAAAATAGATGGAGATATTAGCTTCAGGAGTATATGATATAATTTCCAGATATAAAGATTATCTTGGCAACCAATAATCAATATCATCGTTGGTGAGCAAGCATTTCTATGTAAAAGCAAACCCCTGGAAACATGTTTACAGAAAAAAATCAGTATAATCATCACAAGCAGACAACTGTGATGAACAAGCTGGGAATGATGTAACTACCTCTTACAAGAGCCTAATAAACTTCACTTCAAATTCATTCACTAAAAGCTGCCTTTACCCAAGATGACTTGGTAAACTGGAGATTCAAATTTATTTAGGAAAACTCCAAATCAAACTTAACTGAAACCAATCTGGAGGTAACATAAAGTGAAATATAGCAGAAAGAAGGAACCACAACTAGTAATAGATCTAGCAGCCCAAACTATGTTGGTGGATCTGAGCAAAATAAGATAGCAAAAACTCCAAATCCAACAATACTGTAAGTCTGAAACCAATCTAGAGGGTAGAAAATGTGAAATATAAAAGAAGAACCACATTAAGAGATCTAACTGTTTAAACTGTGTTGATAAGCCTGAGGAAAAAGAAAAAAATATAACCTCAATGACATATATACTTGGTTTTATGCACAAATAGCAGATTCACTAATTTAATACAAACCAAACAATGCACTTGCAATGATTTCATACCACTTAATACAAACCATGTTTTCCTTTTTCCTTTGCCCTCCTTAGTGTGAGTCTAGGTGCAGAGATCTTGTTACATATATTTAGAGGAGAATGCACAGACAAATTTTATTATTAGATAAATATTCTCATGTATTATCTTTTATAGATGCCATAGTTCCCAATTCTGCATTTATTAATGGAATTATTTGTACACCAAATGGTACATTATCCTCGACCATTTGGCACAACTATCAAGATTAATGAGAGCATAAGAGATGATCTGAGTAAAATTTATTTTGAGTGATTATATTTTATGCTACTGTGGCATTTGACAAGATGTTACAAACATCCATTGACATTTATTCTTGAAGCATACTATATAAGATTTATTAATTAAAGTGCATGACCTAGGTAACTAAGTTACAAGTTCATCTTATCATCAAAATGCATCATCACCAAAAAGTTCCATACTGTTGTTAATTGCTATATGCTCATTTTCATTAGATTCCTGTTATGTAACTTAGCAAAAAAAACTTTGAAAAAAATTTGCACTACATTCACATTGAAACAAATCTATTCATCCCAAAAAGATATCAACTGAAATTAAAATTCAAGCAATGACAAAATAAAGAATCAAAGATTTAGATTGTGGATCTCAATCACCATAAAACGTATAAAGTAGTAGTATAAGCTAGTAAAGGCTAATAAATTTTCCAATCAAAGCAATAATATAACAGTATTCTATAACATTAAAGTCATTTGGGAGTCACAAAAATACAGCTATATATGCCAAAGCTAGACATATTTGCATAGAACTTTGAGTGATAAAGTAATAGGAAGAGCAAAGGAGTGCTTTCATCCTACTACATTTAACAAGCCATCCTCAATCCTAAAAACACACAAAACACAGAGTCTCCGCTT